TCTCCAGCTAACGTCATGCTTAATGGTGAAAAACTAGGTGTTTTCCCACTAAGATCAGAAAAAAGGCAAGAATTTACACTCTTAATACTGTTATTCAGCATTGTACTGGAAGTCCCAGCTAATGCAATAAGACAAGAAAAGGAAATAAAAGCAGTATAGATTGAGAGAGAAGAAATAAAACTTCCATGATTATCTGTGTATAAAATACCAAAGAATCAACAAAATACTCCTGCAACTAATAATGAATTATAGCAAGTTTGCAGGATTCAAGGTTAATATGCAAAAAACAATTGCTTTCCTATATACCATTAAGAAACAACTGGAATTTTTAAAGTTAAAACACAATACCATAATACCATTAGCATCCCCGAAAATGAAATAATTAGGTATAAATCCAACAAAATATCTATAAGATCTATATGAGGAAAACTATGAAACTCTTATGAAAGACATCAAAGCAGATCTAAATGAATGGAGAGATAGTCCATGCACACGGATAGGAAAACTCAATATTATTAAGGTATCAGTTCTTCCAAACTTGATCTATAGATTCAATGAGATCCCAAACAATATCACAGCAAGTTTTTGTGTGAATATTGACAAACTGATGCTAAAATGTATCTGGAAAGGCTACAGATCCAGAATAGCCAACTCAGTATCAAAAGAAAAGAACTAAGTCAGAGGACTGACGCTCCCTGACTTTAAGACTTACTGGAAAACTAGTAATCAAGACAGTGTGGTACTGGAAAAAGAAAGGACAAATAGAACAATGGAATAGGACAGAGAGCCCAGAAATAGACCCACATAAATATAGTCAAATGGTGTTTGACAAAGGAGCACAGGCATTTCAATGGAGCAAGGATAGTTTTTTCAATAAATGGTGCTGGACTAGCTGGACAGCAACAAAAACAGAAAATAACAATCTAGACAGACCTTACATCTTTCACAAAGATTAACTCTAAATGGATCGTAGATCTAAATGTAAAATGCAAAACTATAAGACTCGCAGATGATAGATAGGAGAAAACCTAGATGACTTTGGCTTTGGTGATGACGGCTTAGCAATGACAACAGAAGAACAATCCATGAAAGAAGTAATTGATAAGCCGACTTTGTTAAAATTAGAAACTGCTCTGTGAAAGACACTGTTGAGAGAATGGGAAGACAAGCCACAGACTGGGAAAAAATCTTTGCAAAGCACATATCTGATAAAGAACAAAATATACAAAGAACTCTTAAAACTCAATGATGAGAAAACAAGTAACCCAACTAAAAAATGGGCAAAAGATCTGAACAGGCATCTCACCAAAGAAGATCCACAGGTGACAAACAGGCATACGAAAAGATATTAAACACCATAAGTCATTAGGGAATTACAAACTAAAACAGTGAGATATTACTACAAACCTATCAGAATAGCCGAAGTCTGAAACGCTGATGACAACAGATGGCGGCCAGGATGTGGAGCAGCAGCACCTCTCGCTCATCCGTGGTAGGAGGCAAAACAGTACAGCCACTGCGGGACACTGCTTGGCAGGTCTTTACAGAACTAAATATACTCTCACCATGTCAGCAGCAATTATGCTCCTCTGTATTTACCCAAATGAGTTTAAAGCTTTTGTCTACACAAAAACCTACACGTGCGTGTTTACAGCAGCCCTATTCATAATTTCCAAAACTCACTAACGCCGACATGTCCTTCAATAGGTGACCAAATAAACAAACTGTGGCACACCCATGCAAGGGACTATTATTCAGCAATGAAAAGAACTGAATCATCAAGCCACAGAAAGACATGGAGAAAGCTCAAATGCACACTACTGAACGAGACCATGTAAGAGGCTACATACCGTGTAATGCCGACCATGTGACATTCCAGAAAATGTAAAACTACGAAGGCAGCAAAAAGATAAGTGGTTGCCAGGGGTTAGAGGGAGGGGAGGGGTGAACAGGCAGTGCCCGGAGGATGTTTAGGGCAGTAAAATCATTCTGTATGGTACCGTAATGGTGGATACATGTCATTATATATTTGTCAAAACCCAGGGAATATACAACACCAAGAGTAAACCCTAACGCAAACTATGAATTTTGGGTAATAATAATGTATCGGGATGGGCCTGGTGGCTCACATCTGGAATCCGAGCACTCTGGGAGGCCAAAGTGGGAGGATTGTTTGAGGCCAGGAGTTCAAGACCAGCCTGAGCAGGAGCAAGACCTTGTCTCTAGAAAAAATAGAAAATTAGCCATGCCTGGTAGCATGTGCTGTAGTTCCAGCTCCTCAGGAGGCTGAAGCAGGAGGATCGCTTGAGCCAAGAAGTGTGAGGTTGCAGTGAGCTATGACACCACTGCACTCTAGCCCGGGTGACAGAGTGAGACTGTGTCTTGAATAATAATAATAATGTATCAGCACTGACCTATCAGTGGTAATAAATGACCACACTAATGCAATAGTAATAGGAGAAGGGTGAGGAGGTATTTGGGAACTCTGTACTTTCCACTCAATTGTTCTGTAAACCTAAAACTGCTCAAAAGAAGTCTACTAAAAATAATGAGTCCTCAAAATAATTAAAAATAGTATTGCTGTATGATCCAGAAATTCCACTTATGTGTCTATATCCAAAAGAATTGAAAGCAGGGGCTCCCACAAATATCTGTACACTCATGCTCATGGCAGCTCGATTCACAATAGCCAAAAGGTGGAAGTGACCCCAGTGTCCGCCGAAGGACGAGTGGACAAACACAATGTGATACAGGCACACGATGGAATATTACTCAGCCCTCAAAAGGAAGGAAATGCTAGCACACGCTACAACACGGATGAACCTTGATGACTCCATGTTAGGTGAAATAAACCAGTCGCAAAAGCACAAATACTGTATGATTCCACTTACATGAAGTACCTAGAATAGGAAATTGATAGAGACAGAAATAGAACGGTGGGTGCCAGGGACCAGGGAGAGGAGGAAAGCGGGTGCATTTAACGGGTGCAGAGCTTCAGTTTTGCAAGATGAAAAAGTTCTGGAAATGGATGGTGGTGACGGCTGCACAACAAAGTGAAAGTACTTAACACCACTGAACCGTAAACTTAGAAATGCTAATACGGAAACTTCTATGCTATGTGTATTTTAACACAAAATTTTTTAAAATAATAAGAGTATAAGTAGACATTTGGCATAAATTTGTCTGCTGACAAATTATTCCTGGGGAAAAAAACTGACAATGTAGTTATGATTTCTGGGGAGCAGGACTCAGGGCCTGAGCCGGGGAGATTTTTCATACATTTCGAACTCTGAGCACTTTTTAAACAAACGTATTTCTCAACTTTTCAGTTTAAAAAGGATGGGGTTGTCAACAACTCGACCTCTCTTTCAAACAAAAGCAGGTAGTTCAAAACCAGAGCGGGGTTTTTTTCATATACATTTGTCAATTTTTAAATGGAGACCCTATATTTAGGACTTAATTCTTTTACGGACACACACGTGGTGGTGTGAACACGCAGGTTCTCATGGAGCCCCCTCCCCCTCTGTTCCTCCACTCAGCCAGTCCCTTAGTGTCGTCAGTGACTCCCAAAATAACATTCCCAAAGCAGCAAGTTAAACACGCCAAACACTTCATCAGTGCCATATGGACCCATGCGTTTGTTAAAGTCACAGCTTATAATCGATGTATTCTTACAAATTATTATTACGGATGGCAGATTACTCTGCATGATAATCCTCTTTTGTCTGAGGCCTTTTCTCTGACAGAGACATCCTGAAACTCTAACTTATCTAAACAAATCTAGTCATCACTGTCCAGGGAGTTCTGTTCCTACATTTCCAGGAGCGTAGGTTTGCTCCTCGTACCCGTTCGCTTATGAAACCCCAGTGCTGCCGGCCTCCCGCTGTCTGGTGCAAGACACCCTAACCTTTTCTCACTTCTTCATAGACAGACAGATAGAGACACAGATACAGAGAGATCACACATTCAGAATAGAAATACATCATTAGTCTGCCATCTACACCTTGTTACTTTTGACTTTAGACCAACAGTTCTCCAACTTTGGCTCGCATCAGCACCACTGCTGCGGAAACACATCTCTGGGCCCCTCCCCAGGGATTCTGATTCAGTAGGTCTGGGCGGGGCCTGAAAATCTGAATTTCAAACAAGTTCCTGGGTGACGTAGATGATGCCGCTCCAGAGCTCACACTTCCAAAACGCTGCCTGTGAGTAAATGGCTTCAAAATCCGTCAAGCGGATGACAATGCTGAGCAGAGAGAATGAAAACAAACTGGAAAAAGTTCAAAAGCATGTTCCACTGTTGGAAGAACACTGTCTAAACAATGAAAATCACACAGTACGGAACTCACTAAGACAGAAGGGCTTTGTGGTGAATTTCCAAAGTCATCATCATCCTCACAATCGCCGGAGCTCTGCGGACAAGTGCCCCTCCGGGGGTGAGTCTGCGCCTTCTGCTTAACTTGAATCTGACGCAGGGAAGCTTTGCGACTTTGTGGGTAAGATGGACAACACCGTGCATCTTCCTCTGGGCCCCGTGCCTTCTTCCTTGTCCTCCTCGCTCCTCACAGCGAACTCCTGCGTCTCCTCCTCGCACCTCCACCGCGCAAAGTCCCAGCGCCAGAATAGGCTCTTCTTTGCTCTCAGAAGGAAACAGGTGTGAAGTGGCTGATGGGTGTCAGTGGGCGGCTCCTCTTCAGAGAAACTGATTTAAAATGCATTGTTTTCTCACCTAACTATAAATGTTATAGATGTTTAGCATTGACACTGGTGCAGAAAAGCTGCAACGTGTGGTTGTCCTATTCCCCGGTCCCCAGAACCCTGAGGGCAGCCCTGTCCGAGAGGAACGTGTAACCAAGCTGCCCTCTCAGGCTTTGTGGACGAGACTGCTGTCACCAGAGAGCATCGCGTGGAGCAACCCGCAGGGCCCCTTTGCCAGGCCTGCAAGGCAGCGCACGCACGGACTCCGCCTTCAGGGGTTCCTCGTCTGGCTGTGCCTCCAGGGACCCACCAGATTCTTCTGAGGGACACTTGCGCAGCAGCTCCGACGTGCTCAGGTCCTCCAGGTGACTACGGGCCTGAGACCGTGGCCCGATACCTGCGTGTCTATGCTGCAGCCTACACGGAGGCGACGCCACCGGATCTGAACGCGGTCCTCACTCGTGCCACGCCAGCCGTGCTGGAGGTGAGGACGAGCTCCAGGCGACACAGTGAAAGCATCTTCATCCTGAACACAGCACCCTTTAAATCATCTATTCGCTGCAACGACGGGAAGGGCATAAAAGAGCTTGGCGGGGAAAGAGGGAAGGAAACGCGGCAGGAAAGCAACAGGCAAGAGCAAGGGCGCGGAACGCGGCCCCACGCAAAGACGCCGAGCCGCGCGCGCTGCCCTGGGGCTCGGGGGACAGTGGGTGCCCCTGCGCGTCAGGCCCCGGGGCAGGTGGAGCCTTAGAGACGCGACACAGTGGGGAAGCATAACCGCTCCCATCAGCCGTCCAGGGAGCCCGGGGAAAGCAGAGAGCGCTCGAGAAGCTGCGCAGAGACCAGCAGCCGGGTGCGCAGACAGCCCGGTGTCGGTGCTGACGCTGTCCCGGGGATGCCTGAGCTCCCCGTCCTCCCGCACAGGCTGCGCCCCAGCGCCGCGCGGCCGGACTCGGGGCTTCTCCTGCAGCCTCCTCTCGAGCGCGGAGAGCATCTCTTAAAAGTCTTGGGTGACCAGAGATTTTAGAGTGGTCACTTGAGAACTGAGTACCCAGGACAATAGAGTCCGAAAATCCCCACGAGACACAGGCAAGCCCGCCTGTGGCGCTCCGCCCTCCCTCCCATCGCAGCCTGAGCGTTTGGAGTGGTTGGAGTGGTTGGCAGGAAGCGAGGGCTGCAGGAGGCCCTGCCAACTGCTTCAGCCACCCCGCTCTATCGGAAGCACAGCTGCGTAGTTTGGCATCCACCGAACTGCCCATCTCTCCTGAGTCTAAAAAATAGTCCTAGGAAACATGGAGAGACAGTACGATATTTAATTTTTTAAGCTGTGAGGCCTTTCGGTGCACACGAAAAAGAATACAAATTTATTCATGCTGTGATTGAAAATGTATTTATATGCTGTAAAAGAAAGTACAGAAAAAAGAGAAAAGTTTAAATGTAAAATCCTTTAGATTGTAAAACAGTGAATGGTTTTGTCCCCATAAATATTTCTTAAGATAACGTCTCCTTTAGAAATGACGACTGGAACACGTGCTCACCACAATCTCTGAAACAATGCAGAGATAATAAGGGAAAAGCTGGCCAGCTTTTCCACATACCCTCTCTCCAGTTACTCTCAAAATCTCACTATGATCAACCTTGACATCCCAGTATTAGCCTTACACACCGGTCCCCATTCTCCAGGGAAAACATAGACATGTAGGAACTTTTGGTTGCTATGGTTTTAGGAAAATCAAAGATAGATACACAGATACAGGCTTATGTTCTGCACACACGCACACGCGTGCGCACTCATGCTCGCTCTCTCTCTAGTTTTTCTCATTTAAAACAT